GGTTAATTAATTTAAAAATGCTATAGACTTTGAACGCAAATAGCCGTTGAGATCTCGCCGAGAGCGGGAGTGCCACGAGACTTGTTTTTGCCTCTGTAAGTGTTCCACCCTCACACACATCACGTCATCGCGTCGACTGTTCTGCTAATCCGTGTAACCATGGTATTTATAACCTAACAGTAGCCCCGATGACGGGAGGGATAAAACACTTTGTGAAAGACAGAAACTGGTCTCGTGACTTTCTCGCTCTCAACGAGATCTCGAATAAGGTTTATTGCAAGTCTTCTTGCAAGCTACATTTCCTGGGCTCACAAATCAAGTAAGTAAGATCGATTCAATAGTGTTACTAATGCCTTTTTCCCATCAAGTGTACTGTAAATATTGTTGAATTGTTGAATTATTGGGCAAATATATGATTGACAAAACTGGCATTTTGTTTGGTGGATTTCAGGATGATTGAGTAGACCCAATTTCTTGGTTAGACGAATTCGTGCCATGGGTGATGGTTCGAGTCCAAACCCATCGCTTCAATTCAATTCATGAATATGAACTTGTTATAGTTCTCGCAGTTGTATATATCCCATGTTTCAACACTAGTATAGCGCCAACCGAAGTGTATTTATATACATAAAAACAATATATTTACAGCAGTTGTTGCAATTTCTTGATGATGTTTTTATTGTCTCCAGTACGAACACCCCTGAACCAGTTAACTTAACCCACCCGTGTAATGATCACTGTAACTGTGCTGGAACGGAGACTTACTCACCTGTGTGTGGCAGTAATGGACTTGTTTATTTTGACGCGTGCTATGCTGGGTGCCTGGAAACAGACGCTGAAGAAAAAGTAAGTCTGATTATTTGTTGTTATAGAGACTGATTTACAGTCCATTCTCTGATGCAATGATATCTAAGAATATGATTCCGGTTTGATATCAAGAGACATTCATACTTAAGGTAGATGCCTACTCATAAATTTGAAATATATTGGTCGTGAATCATATGTCTATGGCAACATAAAAACACTTTATTTAGTGTTTTTAAAAATTACATATTTCAGAAATTGGTCTAATATTTTTTCAAAATTTGCTATGTTTAGAACAATTTTATAAAACACACCGTCAAAGAAAATTGCTTCATTTTCTCAAAAATAGACTAGTGAATTCAATTTCTTGCAGGGTGAATCAATTTTAAGTGCTGGAATTATGCGTAGACTTACATCTAAATGAAATGAATCTCATTTAAATCAAATATCAATTACAATTATTCGAAAATTGCCGAAATAGAATAAAACTTGCGATT